AAAGGTGACAGACCCAGGGGCCGATGCAGGGGCTTCGGAAGGGGGCAGTGAAGGTAGAGGCACAAATAAATCCCTGGGAGCAGAGTGTGATGACCCAGTGACCTCCGGCGTGTGGATGGGATCGGTGGTGGTACAAGCAGGAGAATTAAAAAGTAAAAATAAAACCTCACGCATGTAAGTGAGGTCTCTGTAATTACCAGAAATTATAACCGAGAAAACTCTAAGCTAAATGTTAGTTCACAAAGCTGCCCTTGGTTTGATCGGCGCTGGGTACACGGGGGAACATGCACACTGATAATTGTATGGATATTCATGTTATCTACCCACCTATTGCCAAAATCTTATACGTGTGTCAATATGTTAAGTCACATGCATGCTAGCTATAAATTCAGGTTGTTTTCCATCTATATAGGTGGTAAATATTTTCAGTCTTGGTCAGCAGAATGCTGCTTTCCTGGAGTAAGCTAGCTTTAGGAAGCATCCCATTTTCCTTGAGTGCATTATTCTGTGGTAGAACAGTTCAGCACGTAGGCTTACTTATCTTGTTTGTACATAGTTTACACAGAATGACTGAAGCTTCTGGTATCGACTACATTGCTCAAAATAAGGCTTATTCAGTTTTTACCGGGGTCTCTGGGTGGCTTTGCTGAGCAGGGCTCAGTAAGGTACTGCCTTCAGCTTTACAGGCCGGGTGGGTGTTTCTTTCCACCTTTGTCCAGGAACTGTGTTGTGCAGAAATGAAGCTGGAACTCCCCTGAGAAATAGGGAGAGGGTCCTGAGACACCGGGAGAGCATTTAATGTTAATATCTACCGAACAACAAACAAAAATGCAAACAAAAGCCTACTCTAGGATCTCCCTTGGGAATGCAGGGCACATCGTGTGTCTGTAGCCTCCAGGAAGTCTGGGAGGTTTCGGTCATGGTGTCATTCAGAGTGGAGTTCTGGCAGAGAAGTCCTGTTTCAAGCTTTAATACAGTGAAAATTGTTTCGTGGTTTCTGGCTTCTTGGTCTTGCGTTTCACCAACAGGTTCTCAGCCTAAATACCACTTCAGTTGCTGAAATGGCAGCGCTGACTGTGCTGCATGAAAATTCCTTGTATTAGATGTGCGAGTGTGTATCCTTCTGCATGTGCAGAAGGTCTGAAAAATCTGTGCTTTGAACATGCCTAGTCCAGCTAAGAAAAGTAAAATTTGTTAATTCTGATATTGTGTTTTCTTTCAGGCAAGAATTCATATCAGCTCGAAGCAGAATTTGCAGTATGGTTGGCTGGCTTATATGCTGGGAGACAGAGCTACAAAAAGGTTCACTCAGTACAGCAAAATCTTTACAGTGGAGGGAAACTTATCTTCTGGGAAGGGCAAACTTGCACAAAAAATAGCAGAAAAATTCGGTACATCTTATTTTCCCTATTTTTGCAATAGTTACTAGAATTTAACAGTGTAATTGTGATTCTTGTGTAAAGAAAGTTCACCAAACCAGCAATTCTTGACTAGCGTATTATTAGTTAGGCAATGCCACAGTTAGTGTGGAAGGCTTCTTGGGGAGGGGAGAATAAAATGTTGATGAGGTTTGAAATGACGATGGGATGCTTGTCAGATCAGATCTGTGGGACCCACGTGTAAGTATGATTTGTTGTGAGTGAAATTTCACTTCTAATGAAGTTGGTTTGCTCCCTGACCTCCTAGCTCTGGTAGAGTCACTGGGCACCTCGAGAGGTAGGATTTTCTGTGGCAGTGTACGCAGTGTCATCAAGGGGATTGGAGGGCTGGTGGCAAAAAAGATTCTGCTTTGAACAATATCTCCGTGCTCATTGTGGAGGTGACAATTTGCAGTACTTTCCATTAGGGTTTGTTTACCCTCTTTGATGTGATTGACCAAAGGATTTTATGTGCTGTGTCCAAGTGTTATTTTAACGTAGAGCTATATATTTAAATGAGCTGAATTGGTGTTTACTGTAAACAAACAAAACTTATTATTTTGACTGGTGTTCTGTTGTGGGTTTTTTTTGTCAGGAATGAAATATTTCCCAGAAGCAGACATCTGTTACCTAAACAGAATCACAGGAGATGGAACGTTGCTGCATGAGAAATTCAATGGTTTCTGTAACCTGGAGAGATTTTACAATGATCCAAAATGCCCTGATGGACACTCTTATCGACTGCAAGCGTGGCTGTTTGGTAACCGTGTTTTACAGTATGCTGATGCGTTGGAGCATCTGCTGAGCACAGGTTAGATTTCACAGTAAATAGATTTCATTTATAAATTAACTTCTGAGTGTAAGTTGTGAGTAAGCTGTTCTGAAGTGCTTTGCTGGTATCTGCATTTTGAAATCAAAGGCTATTATGTTGTGAAGCTTTTATATTTTTTCCCCCTAGTGAGTACAGCTTAACAGTCCCATTTAGAAAAAATTGTGTTAAAACAAGATCATTTCTAGTGAAGCAAATACCGACCAGTTACCAATGTCATTAATTTTAATTTGTCAATAGCTGATGATTATTTCCAAAAAGACATCTTAAACATACCAAGACAGCAGTGAGTCATACAGCCTTTTTAAAGCTCTCTCTAAACTTAGTTCCTGATGGTATCTTTTGTTCAGTCTTTTTGATTTCATTAAATAATGTTTTGTGGTGGTGGTTATAAATTGTCTTCTGGTGAGAAAAGATTTCCTATACCAACACTGACTTACCTGTTGGTTGTGCTTTAATAAATGTTTTCCAAAAAAGATGAAAGCAAAGCGAGTACAAGGAAGTGTCTCAGACACAAATGAGGTATGGAGCCTAAAATACAGTAATGCTTAGCTACTGCAGTGGTAGGCACAGGGGGGGAATGAAGGTTTGGGTGAGACAGGTGGGTTCAGCATACATATCCAGTATGTTTGTGCAAGCCAAAAACTTGCTTTTTTGTTTTATTTAAAACTTCTAGAAAAGTAGTCCGAACATTGACTGTAGACCAGAACTGTCTTTGATTTTAGATATTGCTGCCAGCAGTCTCTTTGAGCCTTGCTGACTGGCCCCTACTTTCAATTGCAGGACAAGGCGTGGTGTTAGAGCGCTCTCCCTACAGCGACTTTGTGTTTCTGGATGCGATGTTTAAAGAAGGCTATATCCACAAGCGATGTAAGTTACTTGCGTGCATTAAAAACTAGTTCTTTTGCCATAATCTCAGACAGAATTGTGGTAGTTTAGTTTTTTAAAAAGGAACAAAAAAGCCTGCTGGGTACATGGACTCCTTTAAATATTTGGAGTTGTTCTTCCACGCATCAAGAACCAACTTCAAGCCATGAGACTTAGTTTTAGTTCAAGGCTTTAGTTCTGCTTGCATGTTAAAGAATATGTATTCTGTGTATTGGTTACTTGTGTTCTGGCAGCAAGAGGCTCCTGTAGTTCCCTGGAAATGTGGGTGAGCATGCTGATGAAGACTGGAGGTCCTTCAGGCAGAATGTGATCTTGCAGCTTTAGGTGGGAGGTAAATAATGAGTCAGCAGGGTTTGACGTACTTGCCTTGGCTCCCTTTTGAATCTTAAAGAACACGAATGTTGCTCTTGTATTCAAGAAGGAGGATCCAGGACAGGCCAGTCAGCCTCAGCTTGATCTGCAGGAAGGTGATGGAGCAAATCCTCCTGGAAGCCACTTCCAAAATATATGGAGAATGTGAAGGGGATGGAGAATAGTCATCATGGTTTTACGAAAAGGAAATCATGCTTAAACAGCTAATACTCAGTTCTTCGTAGAAGGCTAGCTCAGTGGATGAGTAGAGAGCAATGGATATTGTCTGTCTAAACTTAAGCAAATCTTTCAGTGCTGTCTTTCATAACCTCCTCATTGACAAACTGATGAAGTACAGATCGGATACGTGGGTAGTAGATTGAAAAGTGGTTGAACTGCTGGGCTCAGAGGGTTGTGGTCAGCAGTGCAAAGTCTAGCTGGAGGCCAGTAAGTTGGTAGTGTATCCCAGGGATGGATACTGGGGCTGAACCAGGTTTAAACTGGGTTTAAAACATGGATGAGAGGACAGAGTTCAGCCTCAGCAGATTTGCAGGTGATGCAAAATGGAGAGAGGAATGGTTGACAGGCCATATGGGGTTTTTTGTGCTGTTCAGAGGAACTTGGACAGGCTGGAGAAATGGCTGGATGGCAACCTCATGAAGCTCAACAGAAGAGGGGGCTGCATGAAGAAGAATGTTGTCAGCTGGTCAAGGGAGTTGATCACCAGGTCTGGAGTGTTGTGCCTAGTTCTGGGCTACCAGGTGGAGAAAGCTAGGAACTTACTGGAGTGAGTCTAGCAAAGGGCCATGAAGGTCACTAGGAAACTAGAGCATCTGGTGTATGAGGAGAGGCTGAGAGAGCTGGGATTTTTTTGAACTGGAGAAGAGAAGGCTCAGGGGGATGCGTATAAGTACCTGATGGCATTTCTGTGTATAAATACTTGATGGGGAGGAGTATTGGATGAAACCAGTCTCTTCTCGGTGGCACCTAGTGATAGGACAAGAGGCAGAGAGTAGCGGTTAAAATACAGGAAGATCCATTTCTAAGAAAAAAAAACCAAAACATTTTCTACTGTGCAGGTAGTCAAAACCCTGAAGCAGATTGCCTGGGGAGGCTGTGGGATCTCTACCCTGGAGACACTCAAAACACTGTGGGACAGAGTCCCGAGCCACCTGCTCTAGCTGACCCTGCTCTGAGCAGAGTGGTTGAACCAGATGGTGTGCGGATGTTCCTTCCAGCCTGAGTGACTGTGTGGTTTCGGGGCACGGAGCTCCTGAGCAGAGCAGTGTTACTGTGCTGGTGCCTTGTGGGCAGACACGTGGAGTCTCTGTCCCTTGACTAGGAACAGAGCAGTTATGTGACATACATAGGACACCGGCTGCAGCCAAAACATGCAAACTTACAGCTGAACAGAAGTTGCAAAGTAACAATTAGAAAATTGCTATTGAAATTCTTCTTGTTTCGGCCTGTTCTTGGCAAATATGGCATTTTGGCTACTCCTGAGGGGAAGACAGTAGTTTCCCTGACTGCCTCTGTTTCTGCTGTCTTGTTCTATTTGGCTTAGATTTAGGAGGTGTAGATTTGTGTTTTAACACCTGCTGTAAGTCACAACTTCTTGCTGAATGAGTTTGGGAGCTGGTTCTAATGAACTGTGGGCAAACAAAGCCCAGCAACCACAATTTATATTTAATAATAAATTCCAGCAAGTAATGGATTGTACTGAAATTCTGAAACAGCAAACATCTTGATGAGAGGAACTGCTGACTGCTGCTTACTGTGGTGCCAGGCACCATGGGCTTTAAATTTTTCACAAACTGTTTGAATTTGAAAGCCTGGCAGTACATTTCTAGCTAAGCTGGTGAGCCTTATTGAGGAAAGCTTGTGCTTGAGCTGGCTTTAACAAAGCCTGTGCTATTCATGCTATATTTGACTGGATGCTTCCCCTAAACCTGTGTGGCTTCCTGATCCTCAGCTATTATCACAGGAATGCTTTGGGTTATTGATGTGTGTCCCGGTTTCAGCTGGGACGGAGTTAACTTTGTTCCCAGCAGCCAGTGTGAGGCTGTGTTTGGGTTTGTGCTGAGGAGAAGCTGATCACACACTGATGGGCAGAGCTGCTGCCAGGACAGTCAAGGACTTTCCAGCTTCTCTGCTGTGCCCGTGTCTGCAGGGGCAGGAGGAGCTGGGAGGGAGCACAGCCCCAGTGACCAGCCCAGGATTGGACCTCAGGGTTAGGACTGAGACCCCAACTGGCCGATGGTCTGTTCCATATCATGCACGGCATGGTCAGGGGAGAGGTGAGGCTCTGTCCAGAAGGGCTCTCTCTTGCTCCAGATTGGCTCCCTCTGGGTCCCACCTCTCTCAGGGTTGTCTTAGTCTCTTGGACACTTGGGCTCTTACCTCCATTCAGAGATTGCAGGTTTGGGACTCTCTCTGCTCTGGGATTGTTAGCCAGGAACAGGCTGAGCCTTGGTCATCGGGTGGTGAGCAGTGTCACTGTGTGTCACTCATTTGTGTATTTATATATATATATTACTATTATTATCATCATCATTATTATTGCAGTTTAGTTATTAAATTGTTCTTAACTCATGAGTCTCTTTTCCCTTCACACCTTTAAGGAGATCCGTCTTCCCCATCACTAGAAGAGGGGAGGGTGAGCGAGTGGTTCTTGTGGGGTTTGGCTGCCAGCCAGGGATGTAAAACTGTAACAGTGTGGTAGAAGGAACCCAGTTGCATAGACCTGACCAACTCCTCTCGGATAACGTTGAAGGTGAGGTCCTCCAAAGTGGAGTCTGGTGGTTGTGTTTTTGGAGAGTAGATCTGCTGTTGGTCATGTAGAGCACAGAGCTGTCGAGCAGTGGTAGTGCAGAGTGTGCCTCTAGTACGGGTGAAAAGGGACTCTGCTGGCTTGGTGACCTCTTAAAAATGTTTGCTTTACCTCAGCATGATTCTGTGTGTGCATCGGAGGACAAGGAGGCAAAGGAGTTTTGAAGCCTGTGACTTTTTTCCATTACCACTTTTGCTGCACTGTCACCTTTGTGGCAGGATGGGGCCATTTATTTGGGTGTGAGGCTGTGGCAGGAGGGCAGCCCCAGCACCTCAGGTGACCTGACTGCTGCAGTTTCTTCCTGATGGTTGAGAGGCTGTCTCTAAACAGTGGAGGAAAAACCCAAGTTTCTCAATCTCAGAAAAAAAAAATCACTTCTTTGATATAACTGATGTTAGATTCTTATCTCTCAGTACATGTGGCTTTTTTAGTGTTTGGTTTACTTTCTGTTTCTGGAAGATGGTTTATTCTAAAAATTTCCAGAATCCTATTTGAGGAAAAGCCCACTCTAAGCTTGCTGTATCAGCCAAGAAGAGGAGACTACAAATACAAAGGTAGGGGATGTGATTTATTTCCAAATAGAATGTATTTAGCAAATGCAGGAAGAAATGCTCAAAAAATCATTTGCAGATTCATTACCCAATAAGTTATAGTTTTAGCGCTGTTCCTGTTGCACTTGTCCACATTTGCAGCGTGTGTGTGTTCTGCTGGGCTGCCCTTAGCTCTCTGGTGCGTTTGGTTTTTCTGCAGGTCTTGATCACTACAAGGAGATCAAAGAGATCAGCATTTGTGAATTCCTGCCGCCTCATGCGGTCATTTATATAGATGTACCCGTCCCAGAGGTGCAGAAGAGGATTCAAGAGAAAGGCAAGGTAGTTTTCTCTCTTGCCATTATTGCTGTCTGTTGTGATCCTGCCCTTATGCATGAGTCCTGTGGGATTTGCAGACTTCTGCTTCTGAAAAGCTTTTTGTCCTCTTAGGTGCAGGAACTGTCTGTTGGGGATGACTGGGTGGGTATTATGGTATGCTTGCTCTAAAAAAAAAAAAAAAAAAGCAAAAATCAACTTGTTTGACTGCATCAATATGCTGCCATTTCTGTAACAGGAAGCTCTGTAAAGATCATTTGCCCTTAAAAACAAGCCTTTGTAGCTGCTGTCTCAGGAGTCGGGTCCAGCTGATAAGTGTCTCGTAGTGTGCTCTAAGATTATCTGTGCTTCCTGAGTGCCAGGAGCCCCAGCTGGCTGTCCCCTTCACCAGCTGAATGCTGTTTCAGACCTGTGTTGATGTTAATGTGTGATCAGCAAGTTCAGTTAACTTCCTGAAATTAAGAAAATTTCTGCTAGGTGCTCTTGTGTTAATACAGTGAAACCACCAGTTTTCAGCTTAAGACTCATTTTGTGTAGATATTCCATGAGATATAAAATCTGGGGTGTTTTTTGGCTAATCTAATATAAAATTGATAATCTTTCTGGCTAATCAAATATAAAGTTGATGGTAAATACAGTTTCTGCTTGGCACTAGTGCAACCTCAGTCTGGTCTGAGGTCATGATATGTGACTCTACCTATTGTTGTTGTTTGACAGTTGTGGGACAATCTGACTTTTGCCATCAAAACCCTTTGAGGGGGGGGCATAGTTTCTCTCTAAGATGTCTTTTTAAAGTCAAGGTATTGGATGGAGAATACTGTTGAAAAGAAAATTAACTTAGTTCTGTAGCATCGTCTTCAAATTACCTCTCTCGCTGTGTCAGGATATTGGGTTACTGGGTTATTGAAATTATTTTGGATCAAAAACTGCAGGGTACTTTTATATAATGACTAATCTAAATAAGGTTTTGGGTTTGGGTTTTTTCTGCCCCCTTCTGTGATATTTGGACATGTGCTTGTAACTGTTCTCAGATGTGTTATGAGGATTAAATGATGTTTACCTTGTACCTGGTTCAAAGGTGAAAGGAAATTGTAGTCGAGTGAAATATTTAACTGCAAAAGCTTGATAGATTCAAAGAAAACTTTATTACTAAAAACTTCTCAGGTCTCTTAAATGCTTGGCCATGCCTCCTTCTCTCGAAACGTGTGTGCGTACGTTAGTGTGTGAGGGTGAGCTCGTAGCGTTTTGCTTTGCAGTTTCCTGCTCATTTGAGAGGGGGAGGCTGCCAATTGCCGAAGGGAAGGGACTTCAGAGCCCTAACTGGAAGGATGCCCTTGCTGCTTCGTGGTCTGTGGCCTGAGTTGTTTAGTCTGCTGGTCAAATGACTCTCCCCTTCTGCCCTCCAGCAGCTCAGGCCGTGACTGAACGGTGCTTTAATGAACAAGATACTTTTGTATAGGAAAACATAGCGTTTTTGTTTTAGCAACTTCAGTGACGGACTTAGAAGCCTCTTCATGTATCGTGGGAACCTGTGAATTCTTTGCCCTTGTGAGCATAAAGGTCGGTGGCATTTTTGAGACCTCTGGCAGAAATTGCTGGTGTAACTTGTAACTTCCTTGGGGCAGTGGCACTGCTGAACACTAGTGCTTGTTCGGGGATGGTATTTTTGGGAATTCTGCCTTCTTGGCGAATGGAGTGTTTAATTGGTATTCAGCACGCTGTTGTTTGCAGGGCACTGGAAAAAGAAAAGCCTGCCAGTGGGCCCAAAAAGCAGACACACAGATTCTTCCAACATAATGAGCATCTTGGATGAGTGTTTCAAGTGGGAAATGTTAATTTAATTATAGGATTGAACTGAAGGAACACATGGTAGATTAGAGAAATTCCTGGCATTTTGTAAATGTGGCATTAAAGTACACTGCAGAAGATCAAATGTTTAACAGCAGGTGTGATATCCATGAAATTTCAAAGAGTTTTTTTTTTTGAGTGGGTGGCTGGAGTGGATGGTTGCCCATGCACTTGTCTGAAGCTGTGGAAATGGATGCATGTTGGCCCTCTCTTTGAAAAGGCAGACTCAGACAATCTTCTGGTTTTTGGATGATCATATAACTTTCTTGAATGTGCAGATAGCTAGGCTTGATCAGTCCTTGGAAAGCTAATCTTTTTCAGGCTGACGTATGGTTTTCTTTGCTTGTGAACCCAAGGAAAATGAGGTTATTCCTGTAACAAACGGAAATAAATTGGAAGAAGGTTTTTTTCAGTTTTACGTTCTTCTATTTAACCTGCCTTTCCCTTTCTTTCTAGATTCACTAGCGCATCAGAAGAATCTTACTTATACAGCTAATCCTTATAACCGTGAACATAATATACAGGGCAAAGCAACGATTAATGCAGGCTGACTTGTTCCTTAGGGTGCTCTAGATATTTAATGCCACGTAAGAAATTCTGAAAACTCCAAATGCCTTAATTCTTGAAGCTGTCATTAATGTGTGTGGTTCACTTGGGTGTTTGACTCCTAATACAAGAGTGAGCTCTTGGCAGGTGGTGTAGCAGCACCTTCTGCTTAAGCTGGAATCTGTGCTGGTGGGAAAAGCAGGAAAACTCATTTCATAACACTGTTTTCTGTTTGTTTTTAGCCATATGAGAAAAAGGTGTCTCCTTTGTATCTCCAGAACATTGAGGATGCTTACAAGAAAACCTTCTTGCCAGAGATCAGGTTAGCAAGCCAAAATGTTTTGTCTGTTAAGTCTTTGAGTAAAAATGTGTGCAAATCCCAAAATCTCTGTCAATATAACCGAATAAAATAATGTTGTGTGAGAAATCCTCCTTGTGCTCTAATATTATGTCCTGATGATGGGGTGTTGCATTCGTGGCATAACCACCATGTTTACTTGTATGTAGTTACCTCTGGTGTCTGAGAAGCCTGGTGCCAATGTTAGAATATTGGAAGATTAAAAATGAAGTAGTCTTAGGTGTGAGCTTTATAAAGCCTTTTTTTAAAATTCTTAACAGATTCAGAGTGAGTGAAGTGTTGTGCAATAGTAAATTAATTGGATTTCATTAATTGTCCTACATAATGAGCCCTGATCTGCAGGATGTTTTTTCATCCTGCTGTCTTGAGGTATTTCAGCTTTGCTGTCATGGGACACAGGGAAGCATAAACTTTTTCATAGTTAAAAGTGTACTTCAGGAGCAAAGCCAGGAATCTGGTCTGTTTACTGTTCAAAAACAACTTTTGTCTTCCTTTCTGACACTATTCTGTATGTGGTTGGCATCAACAGCTTTGCTTCTCTTTGTGTTTGCTGGCACGGGTGGTTGGAGTGCTTTCTTGGAGCGATGTCCAGACTGCTGTAACTATAGCTGCTTGTTTGTGTTTGCACGACCTGAGGAGAAGGGGATGCAATATGAGCTTTTCTCAGGCCTTTTTGGAGAGTTAGGAGTTTTTCTGTCCTTAAAACTCCTTTCGGTTGACATAGCTTTGGCTAGTTTCTTGATAATGGTGTGGAGGGAGAGGAGAAAGGTAAGGGTCTGATCCCTTTTCCAGTTCTGTTTTGCCACCTCACGATAGCACACACCTGATAGCTTTCCACGTTTGAAAAGGATTTGATGGTCTTGTGGTAAATAAAGACTGCGCTGCTACCTGCTCTGAGAGACTACAGGTGCTGTTCTCTGGGCTCCCCTGGCTTTCTCTAGCTGGAGAGCAAGAATCTGTGCACTGTAAACCTGAGATGAGACTATTATAGTTTGCAACTATCGCAACTCTTCCGAACGAGCTCTATCAAAAATCAGTCCTAAAAATCTAAAAGCATGTGAATGTAAGCAGTCTTGGTCCCTTAGAAACAAATTGCTTTCTGGAAGGGAAATTCCTAAAGACTTTTAAAGAGCCAGGCCTTCTTTACATCAAAATAATCTGTAATTGTGCAAGGTTCTTTTTGTGCAGACTGAGTTACATTTAAGTCAAAGTAGATCTTCAGGTATATTGCAGCCTGCTTGTTTCCCCTCGCTCTCTTGCTCCATTTCCCAGGGTAAATGGGGGTGATAGGGCTGTCAGCAATTGAACTGAGTCGTTCCATACTGAGCTTGTCACTCATACAAGGCAGACAGTGGTGGTGTGAGGTGTGTTCGGTGGCCTCCTAGTGTGTCCCCCACAGGCTAGCGGCCAGCCCACGGCTCTTGGAAGGAAACGGGGACTAAGGATGCACAGGGAGGATGGGAAGCCTTGGGATTGTCATCCCCCTGAGGGCAGAACTGGTTTGAATTTATTGGTGAGAAAAAACATGCTGCTTATTCTTTGGATCAAGTCAAGCCCCGGAAATATACCATGGTGTTTAGTGAGGCTCAATCCTAGACCTGATCCTGCTGTGATTTCAAATACATGGTCAGTACACTTGTTAAGCAAACACCCTCTGGTTGGCATCCTGGCCAGCAGAGGGGCTGGCGATGGCTTCTCAGATCAATCTGTGTGCTGGGCTCTGAAGAAGGACGGCTCTGTCCCCTGGATGCAGGAGAGCTGTGCATGTGTGACCCTTCAGCTTTGCGCATCTCTGGACATGACTGATATTGGATAAATATACTGAAGCTTCAACTGCTTCACCATTTATCTGCTGGCTTGCAGAGTGAAGCGAACTGTATTCACACCTGGCTGTTAACCTCTAGGCAGACTAAGAAATATTTGATTCCCTCACTCTTGGTGATGAACAAAATCTGTTTCAAACAGGCTAAAAAAATTATTATAGACTGTTGAACAAACTCCTGCCTACTTTCCGTCTTCAAGCTTATGTTCACTTGTTCTCTTGCTCTTCTTGAAATGCGGCAGGAAAATAGTCTGGTTTGTTACTTTGCAAAATTCCTGTTACCTTGTCCATTTAATTAGAGCAACTTGATGCTGCTTGAAATGCTGTGTTTTATAGTGGATATTTGGCTATCTTAAAATGGGTGCTTCCTTTCTAGTCTGATGCTTTTATGAATATCTTTTAATGTTTCTTTTGATAGTGATTTGCAAGCCCAGTGCTGTGGCAGGTACTACCTCCTAATTTTGAACAGACAGCTTTTGTTTTTAGTTTTCTTTTCCTGGACCAAAGCCCTAAGGTTACTAATGTTCTCTTTCATACCCAATACTGCTTCCACTGAGCAGCTGTTTTCTCTTAATGAAGGCCCTAATAATCTGCAGAGGATCGAGTTATTTGAACCTGCATTGTTAGAGCAATTGCCAGTGTGAGACTGGTGAGGTCTGACCTCTCCCTTTGATTACTGACTGTTGATGTCGAAGATGTGAGTAGGTGTGCTATGCTGTCGCAGCAGCTCTCTTTGAGAGGAGGCCATTTATTTTCTTTCTGTGACTGAAGAGTCGTGTGAGGCTTTATGCTTCGTTCTCAAGTTGAGAACTAACTCTTAAGTAGTTCCCCTACTAGGAGCATCAGTTGAATGGCTGACTGTATGAGCTTGGGGGTTTGGAGGAATAAAAGGCATTTTATAAATTAACTTTTTTACCAGAGCTGTTTTGACTGACCAGTGTTAATGCAGATGAGGAACTAACTTGGACTGCTGCAGTTATAAGTTCTTTTGATGATGTGACTACTTAAAACAACAGCGTTTAGATTGCTGGCCCTAATACTCATTAACTTTGGAAGCTGTTAGCTGTGCTAGGCAAAAATCTGCTGATTCTTCCCAGTGCTCTTCAGGTTTGCTGTGTGTTGTTTGACACACTGTGTGCATTGGGCTTCCATTTTATTTTCTCTTTCAGTTTTTGTTAGCTAAAGGAAAGGTCTTCCAGGGCAGCTGGGGCAGGTTTGGGAGTGACTATTACCGAGTGCTGTGCACATGTAGCAGTGAAATGTGTTTGTGTAGGAATTCCTGTTGAGAAACTGCTCTGCAAGGTTTCTCGGAAAGCTGTTGTAGGAAAACAGTCTTGTAACCAGGAAGCTGTTTCTTGTTTTAAATTATTTTCTACTTGCAGACCCTGCTGCCTATGTTGTATTGGTTCAGTTAGCTTAGTGTTAATAAATAATGATGAATGAATGTGTTCTTCTGTTTAAAATTCCCCACAGGTATTAATGTACTTGTTATAAAATGGAAGGCCTATGGAAGTTTTGGGTTAGGCTGGCCAAAAATTTCACTTGGCTTCAAATAGTTTGGGCGATTGTCACTGGGGCAAGTATCCACATTAGTGAAATGGAAACAAATTCATAGGTGGGATTGGTTTTTTTAATTGAAACTATGTAAATGCCACAGGCCATTTGCTCTTTAAAAATAAGTTTTCACCAGGAAAAGAACTAACTTACAGGTCTGATAGGAATTCTATTGCGAGAACTCTGTAAGTGTTCTAAAAAATTGTAATGTTTCTGGCTCTCTTTGTGCCTTTTAACTTCATTTCTGCTTCATTTTGGAGCAGGGGGAAGAGGATGGAAGAGCAGTTTTATCAGGTGAATTCATTTTTTTTTCTTCTTTGCAGTGAGACCAGTGAAGTTCTGCAGTACACAGGAGTTGAGGCAGAGGATGTGGAGAAGGTAAGAGTTTGCATATATTGATTTTAAAAAAAACCAAACCCCAACTTCCAAGACTGAAATGTAAAGAGAATACATTGTCCTAGATAACAAACTTAGTTAACTATCTAATGTATTTAGTGTTTGTTGCTATGGCAAAAATCTGGGCTGGGTCTGTACTAGAATATGTCAATGAGAGTGTAATTTTGTCAGGAGAGTGAAAATCTTGGCCCCCATCCCTTTTGCCAAGATACCTGGCTCTCTGAGCAAGCAAAGCTCCCTATAGGCCGCATGATTATCATTAATAATTTTTTTTAGTGTCTTTTTTCTGATGTCACTTATGCTGGTTGTTTCCAAGCAAATGCTGTGAGGGAGGTGGAAGCAGCACTTCCTGAGTCCCTGCTGGGCTGTGCAGTGTCTGGCTGCTCAGGCAGCATCCCTGTTTGAAGTGGCTGGTGAGATGGGCAAAGCTTTGCATAGCTCAGTGTGGGAACTAATGATGTTAACCGAGAGGTATGCCACCCCCAGCATTCAGCTGAGACTTTGTCTACCAGTATAAGGTCTGTCTCTGTTGGCTTTTGCTGTTGTGCACCTTCCTGTGATCCAGGTTGGTGCACAGCTTCCTGGGTGATAAAATAGCTGTTGATTTCTAAAAGCTAGTAATTATTTGGTTATAGCTAACAGCTGGATAACCAGAGCTGTTAAAGGTTTGTAACCCTGGGTTATTCATCTCTATAAGGTAGGTAGCACATGGTATCTAAACTGCAATTTTTTCTCCATTTGCCAGACACATTAGCTGAGCCAGATAAATTGTCTTCTCTTTGCTAGAAATCTCTTATTGTATGACAGGATTAGCATGAGATCACTGCCGCCTCCTAATCCACTGTGTTATTTTTTGGAGTAGGTGTAATATATTTGCCTTATTTCAGCAAACATTCTTGCTCACAGGGGGTTACTAGTGGGATAACAGAAGCCTTTTGCTTCCCCACTGTTAACTTTTCTCTCTACCTGCTGTTCTCTGCCAGAAAGAGTAACAAGCTTTTTGTATTTCTGGGCAGGTTTGTAGTGAGCCCATTTCACCTACATGGTGAATCCCTTAAAGCTCACTTGAATTCTGTAATAGCAGTAAGGATCTCAGCTGCACTAAAAATACCTTTTCAGATATGTGTTGCTGATTTTAACCTTTTCATCCTCTCTATTTCTTGTTTGAAAGCTCTGATAATCCTTCTAGTGTCCACTTAATGCTCTCCTTTCTTCTGATAGAGGGGAAAAGAAATATGAGACTGGTTATATTGCTTTTTGCCATAAGAGGTAGGTCCAGACTTTTGCACAGCAGTATGCAGTTAATTCCTAGGTCAGCTGGGGAGAGGGAAGTGGCAGGTAAGTGATTGCTATGTTTGAGATGGAAAACTTACTAGTTTGGCAAAGGGGAGAAGTTTAGGAAAGTGTAACAGGCTTTCCCAAATGAGATGCAAAAGGAAAACAGTTGTTTCAGTATACCAGCACCTGTCTGCTCACCTGCACTACGGGTGACATTCAGCAGGTAGCAGGCCATCTTGCAGCAGAGGTTTGTGTGTGGTTTTGTGGAGGCACTTCTGTCTTGCCATGGGACCCATCTTCAGAACCTTTCCTAGCTGAGCTTCCAATTCAATGCTTAACTAAAGCTCCTTAAGCCCAACCTTGGCATTCATAACAAGGGAGGTTTCTGGCTGCTTACTGCCTTTGGAGTTTTTTTTTTTTTGAAAAAAAAAACCATATTTGAACATTTCCAAGTGTTGCAAGAGGCAGCGTATTGCTGCTGTGCTCCCTTGCTGATGGACTGGGCTTGATTGGGATTAAGTTAATTTTCTTTGCAAGAGGCGCACATAGTGCTGTGCTTTAGATCCAACCAAACCAGTGATGATAATGCACCAGTGTTGTAGCTATGGCTGAGTGGTGCTTGCACAGTGTCAAGGCTGACTTTGTTTCTTACTCTGCCTCCTGTGATGAGGCTGGGGGTGTGCAGAGTTTTGGGAGGGGACACAGCTGGGAAACCTGGATCTTTAAGCTTGTGTCCTGATTTCAGTGAGGACAAAGTTAACTTTGTTCCCAGCAGCCAGTGTGAGGCTGTGTTTGGGTTTGTGCTGAGGAGAAGCTGATCACACACTGATGGGCAGAGCTGCTGCCAGGACAGTCAAGGACTTTCCAGCTTCTCTGCTGTGCCCGTGTCTGCAGGGGCAGGAGAAGCTGGGAGGGAGCACAGCCCCAGGGACCAGCCCAGGATTCGACCTCAGGTTTAGGACTGAGACCCCAACTGGCCGATGGTCTGTTCCATATCATGCACGGCATGGCCAGTGTAGTGATGAGACTGTCTGGAAGGGCTCGCTCTCTCGGGATAGCTCCTCTCTCAGGGTCGCCTCAGTCTCTCGGACACTTGGGCTCTTATTTCTGTTCTGGGTTTGCAGTTTCAGGACTCTTCCTGCTCTGGTATCGTTGGTTGGGAATGGGCTGAGCCTTGGTCATTGGGTGGTGAGCAGTGTCACTGTGTGTCAGTCATTCTTATAGTTGCGTATATTGCTATTATCATTATTATTGCAGTTTAGTTATGGAGTTCTTCTCTCAACTCACGAGTCTTTTTTCACTCCTTTATTTCTCTCCCCCATCCCTGGGGTGGAGGGTGAGTGAGCGGTTGTTATGGGGTTTTGCTGCCAGCTGGGGTCAAAACCATAACAGCGTGGTTCCTGCTGTTTGAGTCAGTGATGACTCTGTTTCAGTGGAGGTCTGTAGTAAACTCTCCATATGAACAAAGTATGGATTTTAGTTGGCATTATGCATGACAATATGCTGCTCCTAATACCCTTGTGTCCCCTCGTAAAATCTTTGTGAAACAGAAAATATTCCTGCTCCTAAAAATTTAACCTCCATTAGCTGCTCTGCTGTGCATTTCTAGGCCTTGTAGTTCACTTGATGAGAATACGGGTGTGCCTTACATTTTGTGCTCTGGGTTTCTGGACACTCACGTGTTTAATTTTGCAGGTTATCATTATTAACTATTAGACCTGTGAGGCAATTTTGAGTTTATCCCCCTCAAAAAGGGCTGGTGGCTTCAATGTGACAACAGATAAGTAGAAGTTCACTGTGAAATCGCCCTTGGGCGTAACTTCTTGCGTTTGGAGTAGTGCAAAATTCCTAAAACCTCTGAAAATGAGGTGGTTTTGGGAGCTTCAGAAAAACCAAGGGCCTTTGCCTTTGTTCTATGTTCTGTGTTGTGTTTTTAGATTTTTTTTTGAAGGACAAAAATAATGAAATGGAAGAAGCTGAAATTAACAAAAAAGCTGAGGTCAGGGTGTGGATGAGAATATTGAGCAATTATAGTTTGTTTTTTTTTTTCCCCTGGATAACATAAAAGAAGGGATAAGATTTGGGACTGTGGTGTTCCAAGAAGGTGGCCAGGGATGTTTGGTAGAAGAAATAAAGAGAAAGTTGGGTTGGGGGGGTATTTGCTGGTTGTCTCCCCTTCCTTCTCTCTGATCATGCCTTGAAGGGGTCAGAATAAAGCAGTTTGTTTCTTCCCTAGATTTTTTTTGGTGGTAAACCCCATTGCTAGAGATTTAATCCTTTAAATCAGGGTTTAGAGTCAGTCTAAAGCTCTTATTGCTCAAGTAGAGAGTCCACCAAGCTCAGCAATCTTATGTCGTCACTGTATGCAGGGTCATCAGTATGCACTGATGTAGTTCTTCATTTGGCTGGACGAATCTGGACTAGAGGAAGGATTATTGTTTTGAAGCCAAAGAACAAGATAGCATCATTTTCATTGTTAGATGCTAGCTGGAGAGATTGGTACCCTTTCCACTTCAAAGAAGAAAGTTGGGGATTTTTTTCCCTTCTGTTCAGATTTGGTTTATCATTGGAATGAAGTAGTTGAAATGTGTAAATAAGGGTTGACAGGAGGGATTTGGTGTTGGCTTGTGGAGTGTTTGTTTATCCAGGTGTATCCTGTTGGTAGACAGCAATGTTGAACTGTTAGCTAGCTTCAATCTACAGATTATTTACTATGTGATTTGGGAGCTTAATTTTTTTATGACCTTATAGTTTAATGGCTTTTGATTTGCTCATAGCAGACATATCCAACTTTTTTGGTTCTGAAGTGTGTTTAAAAAGATCAGTCAGGGTTTCATATTGAAATTAACATGGGTTAATTAGTGGCTAAAGGAGTAGTAAGGACTGAAATGAGCTTTTACATGACGATAAAACTGGGAATAAAAAGTTAGCTAATATGTTTGTTTAAAAAAACCCAGTCTTAAAAGCCCTGGATATTAAAAAAGGGGTGAGGGTAGAAAGGAAATAACTTAAACTTAATCAAAATTGTTTCCATTCCTCTGTGCTTGTGGATAGAGTTTTGTATTTACGTATCAGTTTTATTCAGTGTCACCAGCTTGTGTAAACTGGAGAAGATGAAAATGGGAGGCTGTCAAGAGCCCAGCTTTGTGCCACGTATTTTGCCGGTGCAAAGTGAAATGCCCAGAGGTAGCCTGCATGAATTTTTCAATTGTAGGTGCTGTATGTGGGCTGAGCTCCTTTCTGCAAGCTGTGGTCTGAACCTCACAAAGTTGTAGCCTGCATTGCTCCTTGTGTCCATCTCTTGCTTAAAGAAACAACCTGTGAGGAGGGAGTTTGGGGAAGATTCAACTGCTGGAGCAACCTATCAGGGTTTGGTGGCTTTGTCCCCATAAATGAATGGAAAAGAGCAGTGTCACCTTCTGCTCAGCTCTTTCACAGTGAACTGGTGAGTGTTACTGTTGGAATAGTCTCAGCTCTTCATATTGGCTCAGTTGCAAAGATTACGGAAAGGGGTCTCATTGAAACCTTTTTTTCTTTAAATCCTACCATGCTCTGCAGTATATGAAGACCTGATCTCTCCTGGACATTATTACAAGTTGTGCTGTGATCAGGTTTAAATCATTCACTCCCTGCTAATTCCCAAGGAGTGTCAGGGCATTCCTTATAAATTAAGAAGCTGTGCTTCCAGCCTGGTCAGGAGGCTGATAACCATTGTTAATGAGCTGCTGGGAGAGATATCTTCTGATACTGTAATAAGTCTGCAAAACTAATTTGGATACACATTTTTCTCACAACATATTCTGAGCCCTGTAAGCAACTCTTATTATTAGTCCTGTCATCAGCCCATAGCAGTGAGTTTCCAAAGCTTTGCTGTGGAATAGAGAAGTAAATGCTTTTTGCATAGGTTATGGGAAGTATGGTGGGGGTTCATCTTTTCAGTTAAATAAGTTAAATAATGGATATTTGAACTAGCTTACCATATACCTTTCTTCCTCCTTACATCACTGGAATGCTGATCTTGGGGAGCAGTTTGGCAGGAAGAAGCAGTTTCTAAATACAATTTTGAAAACTCTTTTGAATGTCTTTAGTACAGTTTTCTGTAGTGTATTTTGAAGATGGAAACATTTTTGCATCAACAGGTGGATTTGTTATTGGGTTTTTTCCTCTATCTGAAAAGTAGGTTTCCTGTGCCCTCAGCTGCAGTATTTGGCTTGCCGACTTTGCCTCTTTGTAAGACATCAAAAATGGTTAAAGAGCATCTGAACTTGAAGTTTTAAATATGTTTTGGTGATGTCATGTCAATCATATTTTTTAAGTCTTTATTGGCAAAATTAGTCTTTAAGAAATATAAATGCTTCAGGGAAAATGATCATGCAGTCATACCTCTGAGCCATTATTTCTTACCATAAAAACATCATTCTGGCAATACGGTGGACCTGTATAGTTGAAGCTACTTTGTAATAGCACTTTGTTATTGCCTTTTAAGTGGCAATAGATCGGTTTTAGTGTTTGCTGTGATTGCAGGGGATAATTATAGTGGGTTTGCTATATGGTAAAGAATCAAAGGATTTTTCATTTATTATTCTATCACTTGCCTCATTGCTGGCATCTGCTTACTTGTCAGCGGACTGACAATTCATCAGGCAGTTTCCTGATGTCATAGCTTTATCCCTTTATTCTGGAACTCTGAAAAGTGATGTTTGGAGCTGTAACAATCCCCTCCTTCCCAGTTCGCTTCAATGTACCATCTCCACCTCATTATGCACCTTAAGTGCATCCTCCTGACACTAGTTCGGATTTCCTTTGGATCTAGTCAGTCGTGTGTGATAACCTTAGGCTCCTGTTAAGCAATTACTCAGTGGACCAGCAAAGATCGGTTCTCTGGTGGAGACAGGCTGTAAATGAAGCTCAAATATGGGATTGATAAGTCTGGAGATGGTGAAGGAATGATTTGCAGAGCTGGTGTTACTTGTTGGAATGGTTCTGAGTGCTGAGCTGCGAGTTTTACCTTTCCTTTCCGCTTGAGGTGCATGCATGCGTGGGTATGTCCTGATGACCGATGAAATCGTGAGCCTCTGGACTTCGGTCAGTACGGCTACTTCAAGGGTGTTGGAGTTTTCCAGCTGAAACATGACTCAGTTTCTGTGATGTGAACCACACAGAGCAACACCAAGGGGCAATTGCCACAGTTGCTCCTCAGCCTGCCTCAGTCAGTATGCTACTAAGCCTTTTTGGAAAAAAAAAGACAAAACAAACTAATCAAAATAGGCTTCCTATGTAGTATGATGGAGTTTGGTTTTTTTTTTTGCAGAAAAAGGGGGTTAAATTTTGACTTATTTCCATTTCCTCCTCATTCTGCCTTAGAGGTGGGGTTGTACTTTCTTTGCTTCCTTTCAGCCCCAATGGCAGGTTGAGGAAGAGCATCTTGGATCAGGTAAGAATTTGGAAATGAGGCACCTCTCAGCCAGTTTATTCCCTGCCATCCTCTGCTCACCAAGGCTGAAAGCCCCAAGGACTTCACAGCTGGTTCCCATGTGTCTGCCCAGAGCTTATGGCAGGGCCACAACCTCCAGAAATGGGACTGGGAGATGACATGATAGCTCTAATTGTTTGTGTTTTTAAAACAGCTTTAGCAGTGAAGCCTTTTTGCTGGGTGACTTGTGCGATGATTATTTCGTTGATTTGGGAGGCATGTTCATTGATTTTTTTTTTTGGATGTTCTGATCAGACCACCTCTTCAGTGTGATTTTTATCTTCTGACTCCAGGTGATTGAAGACATCGAATACCTGAAGTTTGACAAGGGGCCATGGCTGGAACAGGATGATGTTTCTTTCCATCATTTGAGACTTTAGTAAGTATGATGTCTTCCAGTTACTGAACATTACTTAGCCTCAGGTCTCAGGGAAAATGGTTAAAGCCTTGAGTTTTTAAAAGTGTGTTTATATTTGCACTCTGACTTGTTTGGGTTTTTTTTTTTTTTGTCAGAAGTAAGCAGTGATAGCAGGCTTTTGTAGTATCGGTGCTTGGTGCTGTAATAATGTGGCATTTTGCTGCTGCTGATAATTGATTAGATGAGAGACTCCAGATGAATAGATCCCACTCCGTTCATGAAGCACAAGGACTCTCCAGACATTTCCTAAGTGCTGTGACCTGTGGCCCTTAGGAAGGTATTTTTTGTGAGCACTTCTATTCCTGGGTGATCCCAGAAAAGGTTTTCATTTGAAAACAGAGCATTTACGCAGTTGGCACGATGGTTTCTCACTGACACTCTTCAACAAAGCTTGTTGACAGAGCAGCCCTGTAGCAAGCTTTGTATGGGGTGGCGTTTAGATTGGCTGTGTTCAGTGTTTTTTCTAGAACTAGACTAATTCTTATGCTATCTGCTTTTAAATGTCTTTCATGAGGCAAGAAGCTGGCTGAACAGAGTATGAGGGGAGAAAAGGAATCAACCAAACTTGGGTTACTGCTCAATAAATCCTTCTTTCCTTCTTTCCCCTGACTTCCAGTAACTGATCCTGAATAGAAGCTTTAATCCTAATTCATGGAATTAAATATTGCAGTTCTGTTGTTCATTCTCCAGAATAACAAGGGGGATTGTGAAGTATAGCAGTTTAAGGGTGGCTTTTCTGTTTTTTAGAGATCCATGTCTGTATAGCTGGATACGAAGAGATCAAACTCGGATAGTGGAAAGTGCCTTGCTGGAACAGAATTTCTGGTTATCTCATAGGTTAATAGAAACACAGGGATTTTTAAAATTTAATATCTGCCTCTGAAATTCTGTCTTTATTGTGACGGGCATTGGAGTATTAAGTTAAACTTTTTTGCAGGCTTCTGATATTCTTTGCCTTTTACTTTTCTGTGCTGTTACTTCAAATGCCTCCTAAAATTAGAGATAATGTTCCTTTTCTATGGCCCTCCTATCAAAAGTGAAGATAAATTGCAGAAGAGCAGTATTGGGTGGCGTCAAAGAGAAACAAGTCATGATTCGGGTGCCTTAAAGTATCTAGGAAGAGGTTTCCATGTAGCAATTAAAGGCTAGCATCTGGTGACTTAAACCCTGCAAAACTATTGAAATCAGATTTCCTTTGCAAGAGAAAACACAGGTTACTTGTTTTCCTATAGCTTCACACTAGTACAGGTATTAAGAAAGGATTATTAGTTGCAGAGTGTAGGAGGGAGTTAAAGCGTACAATTACAGAGCAGTGTATTAAGAAATTGTATGAAAATTCTACTTCGCAGCTGTAGAAGGGAATAAATTGCATTGTTAAGGACTCAGTTTTCATTGAAGCCTGGGGAAGGGTGAGAGGGTCTCCAGTACAAGGTTCTTGTCATTGCAGATAATATAAAATTATTTATGTTGGCAATGTGTGGCTGTTAAGATCTTACAATACAACAAACTGCTAATTTAAATGTTCTTATAATTTGATTTTTGCTGTTTCCCCTTGCCTTCAGAAGAGCATTGTCAAAGTTGTGTTCATATTCGGACGGATGATGAATGTGCTTGGTGTTTGTTTTGAGTTTTCATTTGGTGCTGGGGTTTTAGGGCATCGATCAAACATGTAACAACATCCTGTGCCAATTTTGTGCTCTCGCCTTGCTTAGCTATATGAGGAAGTCGTGGGCAATATGCTGGGCAGCCTGGGAAAAGCACATTTGTAAAAATGTGTAGGTTTGGACATCATCTTTTCTCATGTTAACTAGCTCCAGAAGTGCAGGACAGACATGAGTCTCCTGTTGCAGCTTGCACAAACTTCTCTTGTGAGAACCTGTCAGGCCCAGTGCCAGACACAGGACAAATGGCATAGGGACTGAACAAACGCTGCAGGGAGCCTGCTGCGTGTCTTCAGTGTCTGGATTGCGTCCTGGAGCATCAAATGCCGAACTCAGGTGCTTGTTCGTGAACGTTAAAGCTGATGCTTTCCTTGCTTTTTGCAATGTCTGAGGAGAAAAGAGCCTGTGGTACCCAGTCTTCCGCAGATTTGCGGGTGTCCCATGCCTGTGTTGATTTGTCCTTTTGTAAAGAGTTTTTAAAGCATGTTCCTGGTGCGCTGCCTGTTCCGTATGCTGGCACATGCTGCCCTCTCCTGGGTGTATCTGGAAGGCTGCAGCAGGTATTTGGCTGTTTTTCTGTCTGCAATTGCTTCCTTTGCTGACCTCCTAGCATCTTGCACAGCCCACTCATTCCAACTCAGGCTGTTTCAGATCTGATGCTGTCAGAGGAGCGACACGCTCTGTGACTGGGAGTCAGGGTGTTTGCGGTCGTAATCCTGCTCCCCTGGTGCTGGCTCGGCTGTTGATAGTTTTACCTCTTTCACCTTCAGTTTGTACCAGCATGTCTGGGGGAAGGGGATCAATGGACAAGGGTGGTGATAACTTTTTGCATTGCATTTATAAAGGGTCTAATGCACAAAAACCCCAGCAGGGCCTCTGGCTACTTTGGTTATGCAAATAACTAAGCTAATCAAACTAGTGAGCCGCACCCATATAAAATCAGTTGCATAATGATCCCTTTTATCTCCCTGCCTCGCCCTCAAGTACTCTCTCCCTTGCCCTAATAGAGTAGTGTAGTTGTGGGACTGAGATATGTCTTGGGAAAAGGTTAAAAACACCTATATTTGTGTGTCTGCAAGCTGGAGGGATCTCCTAGAAATTGCTATCCACATCTTTCCTTCCTTTCCAAGCACTGTGTCCAACACAAACCATTCTGCTGGCTTTTTTGAAATGTCTCAAGGAGTTCTGATGTTGCCACTATGCTGTTTCAAACATGTTTTTTTTTATCTGTGCCCTTCCCAGTAAAATTGTGTGGCTGTCTGCATGCATTGCAAAATAAATAAAGTATTGGAAAGAAGAGCTGTGGTTGACATCACCTGTGTTACCAGCTGGTGGGGGGAGCTTCCTGCATTTGACTTGTTAAAATCTGGTACAGATGGTACAGATTTGACCAGTTAAATCTGGTACATCCCCACAGCTCCTTCAGAATTTGCTAGAACAGAACATATTTTGTATGGACAAATCTTTGGCTTTTTTCAGCCACCACTAATGTAATTTAAAAAAAAAAAAAAAGATGGGTATTGGCATTTGTTTTGTCGTGATGGAAAGGGGACCTCTCTCCATTTGGAAACAATCTAGACATGAAATAGTTTGCCACTCTCATCTGTTCAGTTTTGTTCATTAATAACTATTAGCGTGCCACAAACCTTGCAGAGTAAATCCTCCAGCGTTGTGTTTGGCAGGACATCAGACATGTTCTGACGTTGTCAGTGAAGGACCGTGTATGTGCAGTAACTAGTAATTTCTAAGTTTTCTTAACATTTGTTTAGCTGCTTGGAGCTATTGCAAACCTCAGAGCTTGGCTCCTGTTTCTGTTCTGTTCGTTTTGCTCTGGTTAAATGAAATGGTGCAATGAAGAAGCATGGGGGTGAACAGGGGAGAGCGACCCTTCAGCTCTGGCTCATGGTGTAATGGAGTGTGCTTAACAAAGGGAAGAAGTGTTGTTTGAATGTCTGTCTTGTCTGATTTCAAATAGCAGGGCTAGAAGAGCTTGCAAGAGGTGTACTGGACCTGTTCTTAATTTTTTTTGTCTTGGAGACTCCAAAATATTATAAACCATTTTTTATAAAACTTCTGGCACTATTAAAGTCAGCTTCCTTGAGCACCTTACTTCTCTCTTGCTTCGGTTGAAACGGTTCTTTGTAATTTCTTCTTTGCAGTGGCTTTTTATAGATTTGAAGAGCTGCTGTTGCACCTTCTCACCTTCTCTTGCAGACCTGCTTTTCTTGGAAAGCTCTTTTTTTTTTTCTTTCTTGGCATTCATTGTGAGTGTTTGTTGTTCACTAAGGGAGCGGCCGTGGTTCACCTTGGGCACGGCGTACTTGTTCTGCCTAACCCAGCGGTGGAGTCCTTGGCAGAGGAGGTCTGTATGTCATTGCCCTGCCTTTGCTAAGTCCTGGAGAAAATGGGCAAGGAAGACATGATGGGTAAGGAAAGACACATGGAGGGGACACAGCTCGTGGCTGTCCTGTGTACCTGCTGAATGAGCGCAGGAGTGGAGGAGGTCAGGACAAAGAGCTGGATGCAGGAACCACCTCTTTCAGCTCTATGTGCCTGTGGCATGAGTCAGGAGCATTTCTCCTTTGCCCTGCTCTCACAAGCATGGGCAAAACTGTGAGCGGAGCAGCCACTCACCAGCTCACCCGCACGTGTTGTACCCTACCCGCGGGAGGCAGGGAAGCCGACCGCGGCAGGGGTTGAGCAGCCCTGGCCGAGGTGAAGAGGGTGTGAATAGCAGAGTAATGAACACCACCTACTCGCTCAGATTCAAAGTTGAAACACAATAACGCAGCGGTGAGAAGCTGGTTTCAAGGTGTGTGAAAAAATAATCTGTTTTCCAGTGGGTTCCACCTGCAATTTCTCAAGTTACTTTCATGTGTAAGCACAGAATTTCACCTGGGATGCTTTTGTGTTGCTGGCCCCAAGCCCCTTAGGCCAGTGAATGCTTTTAGGTAGGAAGTGTGCTTTTTGAATACTGTGTATTGTCACTTCAATTTTTGTGATTATGCCAGCATCAGTCATTGAGAAATCATGGCTTAGGCTATGAAAACTAAGTTGGTTTTTTTTGTTGTTTGGTTGACTGGTTAATTTTTTTCCAAGCAGTCTACTTCCTTTACCCAACCTTGCACCTTTAAGCAAGTACGTTCGTAAGACTTTGTAATGCTTGTTGTGACAGGCAGTCTTCAGACTTTGTTTTATTTAGGGGTGGGGAAAAAAGCTAAGGCTCTGGAAACAGAAGCTCTAGAAAGTATATCCAGCTGATAGAAGAGCTGCAAATAACTTCAGGACAGCTTGTAAGACTTGTGTGTCATCAGGGTCCTTGTAAAATGTGTATCTTGGTTGTAAGCTGCCTGTGAAGGCAACAGGCAGGAAAAGAGGCAGGAATGTGTCAATCCTGATTCCTCAGTACCCGCTCATGCACATCATACTGGATGTAGTGCATGGGGTGGGTGTGTAAGGGGTGCTATCAGAGAAAAGATGAGCTACCCCATTGCTGTAGCATACAGGTGTGATTGCTGTGCAGCAGTGGGAAGAGCTCTGGCTCGTAGGATTGTGGATGGTTGGAACAATGGTGAGCCAAAATCAGATGTTCCTGCAGTCTTAGGGCCACGCGAGTCACTTACATCCTCTCACTTAAGTTTGAAATGTCACATCATCTTATGGACAGGTAAAGCACACTCGGGGAAGCTGTGCTCCTGCACGATGAGAGCTGCTTCAAGGAAATATGGTTATGTGCCAGAAAATAATAAATAGTGAGACTTCTGTGCTGGGGAAGAGAGAAAAAACAGAAGGAAACATAAAAGGTGCCTTTAAAAAAAAAATTAGTTCTGGCAAGGGAATGTGGTTTTGTGGTTAAAGACATTGTTGTGGCAGGTGTCTTTAGGTGGTGCTTTTAGTGTTCAAAGTTATTTCTTCAGGTACAGAGCTGAAGCTGGAGAAGCCATCTTTGGGAGCATTAGGCTTGTGTTTTTTTTTTGTTGTGCAGTGGTTTCTTTGGAGACAGTGGTTGTGAGAGCAAAGGTGTTTGCAGAGCAGCAGGTTTTCCATCTTGGCCGCTAACTAAAATAGATTGTGTTTGGGAATTGTCCTCTGCAATTGCCATTTGGCTGAGATTCATGAAGGAATGGTTTAACTGCAGACTGGTTGATTACTGGACTCAGTTTATGTGTGTCAAGTGATACTTCATGGATGCATGGACAAATTTTATCTGCTTTCTCCTCCGGACTTGTAAGGTCCAGAACATCTGCCGCTACTTGTCAGAGAGTGGACTCTCCTGTTTCTGTGGGAAGGATGGATGGAGATGTTTATTCACTGATAGATGAGTGGATCTTCCACAGCCTGTGCTGTTAAGCTTGAGCTCAGCAAGGTCTTTAAACATTGCCTGCACGTTCAAAATTCTTAGCTTGCTGTCTCTACACAATGCAAATGCAGATTAAAGCTTGCACTGTTGGTGTTGATTGCAAGTGCTGTTGCAGGATGGACCGTACTTAAGGAACGAAGAGCTGGTACCTGAAGGGCTGGTTTCTGCTGGGGTCTGATTTTAATTCCAGGTTAATTAGCAGTGGGTGTTAGAGCTGATTCCTTCTTGGCAGGACCCCAAGAGAGGAGATTTAGCTGGCACGTGTGACGATGCTTTCCCTGAAGTATGCTGGGATTTGGAAATAGAACCAGTTGCATCATCAGCTCACCGTTTTGGGCAAGCTCTTCCATCCCAGCTGGGTTTTTCCAGGCTGTCCTGGAGTGGGAAGGCTGGGAGTGGCCTGCAGGAGGGCTGGTGCTGGCATGTCATGAGAAGAGCTCTTGCTGTGTTGGTGAGGAGGCAAAGGAGGGCTTGTTTTCCTGGCTTCCAGCATGTGAAATATACCTTTAATGGATGTGAAGATAATGTAGTAGCTTATAGGAAGCATCTGTGGTGTCCATTCTGATCTTGTTAAAGGGCATTTATCCTTACCTTCTCTTGTCTCAACTTCTACTAAATTATTTTATTTTCTTACTAATATATAGTAGTATAATTTGCAGTGTGCACGGCAGGATACCTTAGCAGACCAGTTTACTTGTTGAAACTGTTCAGTGTTGTGAGGTAAGGTCCCGAAATTTGTGGTTTAGGGCAGAAAATTAATTACTTAAAGACGATTCACTTTGCTGAAGGCATATGCTTTATGTGCATGTAAATATTTGTAAAGAAATGCAATTCACTGAAAACAACACACTTTGTGGAGTTGTTCATGCATTGAATTTAGAAATTGGTCACCAGCCACTGCAGATGGATGTATTTTTCCCCAGGTACATATAGGTGGCACTGTTGGTCTGTGTAGCAGACCAGTTTGCAGAAGGTGGCTTTCTAGCAGTTTCTCAGACATTTTAAATTTGGGGAATTTGAAAATGCTGGCACTGTGCAGCAGGGATTTATGGTGGATCCTGATATTTTTCATTACAGCTGCTGCAGAAAGCTTTTCCTGGTTGTCCCAGGCAGGATGCTGGAGGCAGTTACTGCTTCCAAAGCCCGGGATTACCTCAGTGTCGATCTGTTTAGGATGGGAATTTTGGGAAGAGCATCACCTTATTTTAATCCTTGTGAGGGTTCATTTGTGAAAACTAATTGAACAGGAGGCAATTAAAAATAAAGTTGATACAGTAAGATAGTATGTGTGATTCAATGAAACCACTGGTTTTTCCTTGTTTGTGTAGGAAAGCAAAAAGCTAGAGATGCTGTATGGAGAAAGGCTGCCAGGAATGACAGAGCATCTCCAGGGAGGAAAAACCTGGGGGAGGGAATGGAGAAGCAGAAGAAGTTGGAGCAGGAACAAACTGGAGGCAAGAGCGAGGGGAAAAACCACAGTAGTTATGTGAGGGGAAAGGACTATGTATTCATCGTAACTGGAAAATAGCCAAAACCTGTGGAAGTATTATTTAACAGAAAAGTTTGTTTTTCTTTTATATTTGTCCCAACTCTGAATTTACATTGCTGTCTTCGGGGCAGGATGTGGACTAACTGGTCCCTCTTCTTTCTTTTTCTTCTTTCTTTCCCTTCAGTGTTCAGGACAAAGACGGAGTGCTGGATCCTGTAGCCATCCCGCGCTTCATTCCAGAAATCACAATTGGAGGCAGTGAATATGATAAAGTCTATTACGAGTATCGATCGGTAAGTAATACTGGAAGGGGAACAGTTGTATGGTAGCTGAGCAACCATCCCTGTCAAGGCGTAAGCACGTTTGTAACTCTCCTGTGTACTGCCTGGGTGCCGATCTCATGTACAGGGATATGTATTTCTAAGAGTAAATTCTGGATTTTGCCCAGATCCCCACCTTTTTTTGAAGTCTAGCTTCCCCACAAGAGGAATAATGAAGCAAATGGTTTGTTTCATAAGCTGATTTTCTTTTTTGATCTTTAGTTGTGGACTAAAGGATAAGTGGTTTTCATTTGTATTTGTTTCTTCTGCCCTGATTAGTCTCTGACCTCCAAAATCTAAAATAATCCTTTGAGTCAAACAAGAAAATTGGAAACCCATGGCGACTTCTATAAAGAAGACCGCTTATAAAACCCTGAGGGAGGGGGTGTTTTTTCTGGAGTAGGCTGAGGAGGTACGAATGTTACATTGCTTCTCAAAAATGTTGTTGCTTTAAATAGTGTGTTTCTGCACGCAGGCACACATCCAAAGCCCGTTGTGGCCCAGCGTTCTCTTACACCTCATGCAGGCTCCCACACAAGGTTTTAATTAGCTGCTTGCCTTTCTGATTCTGGAGACAACGGCTTCCAATTGACTTAGCACTTTGCCCTATTGCTTATTGTTACTTAGCTGGCATGGGGTCTTCTCGCATCATCCAGTGTTTTCGTAAGGCCTGGGTATTGTAAATTCTTGTTAGAGAAATGTGGCACTGATGACAGTTAATAGTGGGTTGCAGGTGATGGTATATTTTCAAGTTGGGTTGAAATCTTCTCTGCCACTGCGTACTTTTTTTTTCCCCAAGCAATTACTGAAAACAAAGGAGGAAAGATCTATGTAAATTATTGTAAGCCATGATTTGTATAGTCTAAACGCTATAATTTTTCTGTTCCCATTAGTATGCAGTCTCTTACTGAAAATAAAATGTAAGATACAGGTTTGTTGGGCCTGTTTGGAAACTCTGAACTACCAATTTTTTTTTCTGGAATAGTCAGTTCAGAAGTCCCTATGAATATTCAACATAACTTGTTGCTTCTCAGATAGCCGTGGAGTGGAGAACCTCCTGGGTTCCCACTGTTCTGCCTCATTTGGGATGTAGTCTTTCCAGCTTCTAGAAGCACCTAAAGGTAAAGCAGCAGAAAGCATCTCAGTACTCCTTGAGGTTGTCTAATGTGTTTGAAAACTTCCTAGTCCATCTGAGAAATTGCTTTCAGAATTTTGTTGCTTCTTGATATCTCATTTTTAAGTCCAAAACTTAAACTCAGACTAAGGATTTTTGGAGTCCTCCGCTCCAAGAGACGCCTGTGCGTGTGCAGCACATATTTCCAAAGGATCTGCTGCATGACTTGTTGCCAGCATGCAACATCCATCTGTACTGATGGTGCCTTTCTTCCTGAAGATGACAGGGTTTTTTGGCTGAAATGTCACTTTGCAGTGGAGCTGGGAATTATTGAGGCTGCCTGACACACAGCTAGATGAGACCTCACTGCTGCGTGCTGAGAACCAGGGGTAATACTTCTGAAAAACTTTTTTTTTTCTTCTAACTGTACAACAGCACATTCTTCTTTGTGGTGGCAAGAACCTGAGAATGCCCTGGCTTATCAAGTAACTGGCTTCCAGGAAAAATTGTGACTTGCCTTGCAGATGTAGCAAAGGGGTGCTTAGGAGTAGGAATACGAATACCTGGGAAGGAAAGCTGGGCTCTTGGATTGCTCTGCTCGATGCCAGTTAGTTGACAGCAGAAGCTGAGCACTGTCAGTGCAAAAAAAAAAAAGTTGCCAAAATACAGTTCCCCTTCTGCAGGCATGCTTTTAGGCTCTGATTCAGGAAAGTACCGTGGAAAGTGCTAACGTCCTTTGGAATCAGGAGGAGTTGTACATTTCATGAAGCATTCTGTTACATTCAGGCAATGCTAGCTACTCTTTTTCTCTCTTATGAATACTTAAACTCTTGTAATCCTTCAGGGATGGGGGAGGCGGTCTATAGGGATGGCGCACAATGCGAAAGATGCCGAGTTCTTCTGTTTTCTGTAAGCTACTGCAAGGGGAAGCATAAAGCCAGCCCCGCCGTTTTGAATTCTAAGAGTTCAAATTCTTTGTTTTGAAACTTTGAAGATGTGTGGTTTTCCCTCCAGCTTTGTCGAGCAAATGAAGGTGTGAATTTCCTTCTGTTCAGAGGTAATACAGCACGAGACCAACCAGTGCAGGCAGAAAAAGCAGATGAACTTCTACACGTAGAAATCTTGGTTGCTGGGTCTAACGAGAGGGAATGGCAAACCCTTGCCTTGCCCGTGTCTGTGCAGGGATGGCCACAGCTGCGCTACTGCTTTGGCATTTGAAGATTTTTTTAAGCTCATGTGACTTGTAAGTAAAGACTTAATTATGATATAATTACAGAACTTTTAACTTTCCCTTGTGGGAAATACATGCTTTTAAAGTTAGTGTAATGATGTTTACCACATAAATACAATGATTTGCGTAGGGGATTTTTTTTTTTCCTCGGCAATCCTATAACTAGTCATAAATCCTTGATCATACCATCAGGCAGCTGACTGCTGTGCTTTTCAGAGTTGCATGCACACAATTCATGCTGCCTAATAATGGTGGTTTTCAGGGTTTTGCAAATTCCAGGCAGAAGCTGTTTATTGTTCAAAATATTTGTTAGTCAGAAGCAACCGAGAAGGAGGAGGAACCACTCTTCAGAGTTCAAGGTTTTAGTATGTGTGCCTTTCTGCAAAATAATGAGGTAGCCACATACAGCTCTGAATAGTAGAAACTCACTTTTTAAGTATATCCTCTAAATTTCATCTATAAGTGTTCTTTTCACATGTGAGGAGGTGGCTTTCTGCCTCCTTCTCTTTCCATAAAGTCATCTGGCAGGGTTCAGCCGTTCTGTTCAGGCATTCATAAACTTCTAAAGATGCTTTTCTGGCAAGGGAAAAGTAACCTTTTAGTCAGGTTCTGTAGATCAGAGATAAGCATGTTCTTTCTTAAGTGAAGCAACAATATTTTAGGAACTGTCAGACTAGTAAAGACTTGACTACTCTTTTTTTTTTTTCTTCTTAACAACTGCTGTATCTCTCTGCTTTCTTCCAACCACACACAATCCCTACAGATAATGCTCCAAACTCCATGTGCGCCCTGTGAAGCTGGAGCACTTAGGCAGATGTGTTTGCAGAGAAGACGGAAACAAATGGTTCTGTTTAATGGAATCAGTGTACTTAAATAATGTACTTATGTACTTCACACTCCCAAATGCTGTTGGCAAGTCCTG